GTAATTCAGAGGTATTTCGAGAGAGGGTAAAGGTGGAGAAGCGAGGGATTCTATTGCATGATCTTGCTAGTTGATTTTTTATGTTATGTGGTGGGAGTCGGGTTGATCGATGATGCCTACTAGTACGTGTGGTTTGTACTGATACTACTCTTGCTATGTCTTTTTGACATAGTATGGATGCAGGTTGGTGAGGTTTCATTAGAGGAAAATGAAGAATTCTCCAGCAGCTTCTACTTTTCCCTCCGCATGGTGGGAGCTGTGTCTTTTATTTATTTTGTCCAGTTGTACTCTTAGTAACTCTTGTACCTGTTTAGACTATATTTTTAGGGGTGTTAGTTATTTTACAAATTTTAACCCGAAATTGTTTAAAAGTTTATTTATAAAAACCCTATGATTTCTTTTATCTCCATTTTTCGTTAATCTTCCGCATGTGTAATGATCTTAGACATAATTATATGCCTAAGTTGTCAATATTGCCCATGAACTAATTAAATTGAAGAATGATCTTTAATTGTTAGCTTGATTTTTGGTGTAACTTGTGATGATTGTGTACTCACACATATGATTAGATGTTTCAGGAACTCTCGATGAAATTGGAGTTGGAGCGAAGAAAGAAGGAGAAAAAATGAGAAAGAAAATGACTTAAGGCAAAAAAAAATAATCAGCAGTGCTGGGAGCGCTAAGAGGCGCGTCGCGCCAGAAGATGCCGGACTGGGGCATGTTTGGGGCGCTGTGCGCCAGGACTTCAAGAATGCAGGCGCCTTTGTAGCGCGATGGCAGGTGCGACACGCCAAGGAAATGCCGACTTTTCCAGCTAAAAAATTATTAAATAGGATTCCTAATTGTAGTGTGATTTGACTCCAACTTTTCTAACTCCTATAAATAGACTCCTAGGACTCCATTGTGAGGGTCGACTTTTTGATTTAGTGTGCAAGAGCAAGAATTCAAGTTTGTAATAGGTTTTAATCTGTTAACTCTTCTATTTTCCGGAAATTGCATGAACTATTGTATTTACTTGTTTTCTAATAGCATGAGTGGCTAAACGCCCTAGTTTTGGGGCTATAGCTACGAATTGATTGTTGATTATTTGAGGTTGTTGAATTAATTTTTGGTTGTCAATACAAGTTACTTCTATATTGTTGTTTTAGTATTTTATGCTTGCGCACCATAAGATAAATCTATTGTCTAATCTTAAAATCGAGAGAGGAGGGATTAGATAGACCAAAAAATATAGAGAGCTCGGCCCACCCATTAGATTGAAGTGATTAGTGTTCAGGAGTGACGCCCAGACAAACACCTTGCTTGGTTATGAAATAGAATGAAATATAAATGCTCGCCAGTTAGTCTATTTATCCCCGCTCAACGATGTAGTTAGATAGCTAACTGGGGTAGGCGACGAGAGGCGTATAACCCGGATCATATCATCAACCCTATAAACCAGTAACTGGACAAGTGAAATTAGTTCTAAGCTAAGAATATGATACATGATATTCTTTATATGATGCAGCCCTGGAATTGCTTTTAACTTGCTTGAAACATTATATCAAAGTCGTTCACAATTATTTACTTTCAATTAGTGCATAATTATTAGTAGATGAACAATAAATCATCAACTCTTGAAAAGGCTACTTTTTACTTTTAGTTGTAGAATTAAGTAAATATAAGTTGATCATAAGTCCCTTGGGAACAATAACTCGTTTCTTTAAGAATCTATATTACTTACGTGACCACGTACACTTGCGTGTATATTGGGGAGCAACAAGTTTTTGGCGACGCTGCCTGGGACTTAGAAATTGATTTATATTCGATCTTCTTCAGTCTACAATTAGAATATTTAGGTATTAATTACTTGATCTTAGCTTGTTTACTGCAGGCACTTAATTTTTCAAGTCTGGCTCGGAATGGAGAACTTGCCGAACCTTACAACGAACCTGAAAGAGTTTTACGCCAGCACAGAAAAATGAATCAGGGACGACAAGGAGAATTGGGGTTAGGTCTTCCGGGAAACATTGATGATGATACTCAAGACAACTTGAATAACCTGGAAAATGTGAATAACCAAAGGAACCCGAATAACCAAAGAGTACCGCATGTCGTACCCGTAAGACCAGTCTGTGATGTGGTAGTCCCACTCACAGCCAATTCGGCATCTAGCATTAGGAAACCTTCACCGGGGGGTAGATTTGAACTAAAGCAGAGCATGGTACAGATCCTCCATTCTAATAGGCAATTCACTGGTCTCCCCCATGAGGATCCTCAAATCCATCTTAGGACCTTCATAGATATTACCAATACATACATCCCAATTGGAGTCTCATCGGACTATGTGAGGCTGACTTTGTTCCCGTACTCATTGTTAGGAGCTGCAAGGCGTTGGTTAGATTCCGAGCTACCAAACTCAATCACTACTTGGGATGATCTAGCAAAGAAATTCTTGAGTCGATTTTTTCCATCCAAGAAAATCGCTAAGCTGAGGGGTGAGATAATAAACTTTGTTCAAAAACAAGGGGAGGACATGTACCAAGCATAGGCGCGTTACAAACAAATGTTGAATGCTTGCCCACACCACATGCAAACTAATGAGGTACTTGCTCACACTTTCTTTGAGGGTTTAGAATATAATGCTCGTGCACTTCTTAATAGTGTAGCAGGTGGACATACCCTATCTAGAACAAGTGAAGAGTTCTTTGACTTACTCGATAAACTTTTTGAAGGGAACCAAGGGTATGAGGAGGGAATGTCTAGAACCCCAACCCAAAAGGCTGTAGAGATCTTAGATGTAGACCAAGCTACTGCCATAAATGCCAAATTAGATGCAATGCAACATTACATGACCTTACATTTTAAACAAATGGCTCTAAATCATGCACCAGTAAACGTGGTACAATAGGCAGCAAATTGGTGTGAGGTATGTGGTAGTGGAACTCATGAAACTGAGCAATGTGAGGCAAACCCGAATTCCGTAAACTATGTGGGTAATGCACAAAGGGGTGGAGTGCAATAAAATTATGGTAACACTTACAACCCTAGTTGGAAGAAACATCCTAACTTTTCTTGGGGTGGTAACCAAAACCAAAATCAGGCGCAAGGGGTTAACCAATACCGTTCTCAAGGGGTTGGGCAACAATACTTCAATCCTAACAAAGGCCCAAATCCTAGTGCACCAAAATGGGGGATGACCAATGAAAAGCTACTCCAAAAGCTCATGACTGAAATAGGGACCAAATTAAATGCTATAATAGATAAGCAGGATGAGAACATTAGAAACATCTAGATGTCCCAAATGACTTTAGAGAAACAAGTTGCGCAAGTGGCTAATTCTTTGAACTTATGTCCCCAAGGTGGGCTGCCCGGTGATACTGAGCCCAACCCAGAGCAATTGCATGCGGTAAGTACTAGAAGTGGGCTGCAATTAGAGGAACTAGCTCCAAAGAAGAGAGACACTGAGGTAAGTAACAAAGAAAAGAATGTGGAAGAGGTAGTAAAAATCTCCAATGCTGAGATACCCGTTCCTCAAAAGAAATTACCACCTCCATTTCCACGAAGGCTGAAAAAGCAGAATGAAGATGAATGCTTCGGTAAGTTTCTCTTTCTCCTTAAACAGGTTCACATTAATCTACCTTTGGTTGACATTTTGCAGGGTATCCCGAAGTATACTAAATACGTGAAGGACATTGTGGCGAGCAAGAGGAGGCTCACTGAATATGAAACTGTAGCATTTACTGAGGAGTGCAACTCAAGGATCCAAAATAGACTGCCCAAAAAGTTAAAAAATTCAGGTAGTTTTACTGTGCAGATTACAATTGGGCAAAGTGTTCATGCCCGAGGGTTGTGTGATTTGGGGAAAAGTATAAATTTGACGCCCTTATCTTTGTATCAAAATCTTGGGTTGGGTAGTCCAAAATGAACCAATGTTATTCTCCAACTCGCTGATAGATTCATTGCTAGGATAGAGGGGGTGGTAGAAGATGTGTTAGTGCAAGTAGGTTCATTGATTTTTTCAGTAGATTTTGTCGTCTTAGACTTTGAACCCGATTTTGAAGTTCCATTCATTTTGGGACGACATTTCTTGGCCACGAGTAGGGCATTGATTGATGTAGCAGCTGGTCAACTAACTATGATGGCACATGATAAGGTTGCGGTATTTGATGTTTACCCCGCTTTAAAATTACCTTATATTTATGAAGAGTTGTCTACTATTACTATGGTTGATCGCATAGTAGAATCACAAGTAGTTGTGCCCGAAGATCCTTTAGAAAGAGTGTTAGCGGGTCATGAGATAGAGGGAGACATTGAAGCTCAAGAGATTGAATCATGCTTAAATCTAGCACTAGTAGACACTCGTAGGAATCAAGTGGAGTCACTAGATCGCGAGTTGGGCCCCCCACCAAAGCCATCAATAGAATAAGCCCCTACGTTGGAACTAAAAACTCTGTCGTCTCACCTAAGGTATGCTTATTTGGGTACTAATGAAACTTTGCCTGTTATACTTTCTGCAGAATTGTCTAACTTGCAGGTTGATGCAGCATTGAGGATCTTAAAGCGGAGGAGGAAAGCAATTGGATGGCGGATGGCTGATATTCATGGGATTAGTCTGGTGTTATGCATGCACAGAATTTACATGGAAGAGGATCACAAACCCAAAGCACAACATGTCGATTGAATCTTGTGATGAAAGAAGTGGTAAGAAAGGAAGTCAAAAAGTGGCTAGATGCTAGAATTGTGTACCCAATCTCTGATAGTAAGTAGGTAAGTCT